TTCATAGAAATGGATTTATCGCAACATTCAATAGCTTCTTTATAGTGAGTTAAAATATTTAATGCTGCACCTTAATAATAATATTTTAAAGTTCATTACCCTTGTGCACCATGCAGTATCATTATTAGGGTTTATAGAAATGGATTTACGCAAACAATCAATAGCTTCCCTATAGTGAGTTAAAATTATTTGATGCTGCACCTAATAATAATATTTTAAAGTTCATTACCCTTGATGCACCATGCAGTATCATTATTAGGGTTATAGAAATGGATTTATCGCAACAATCAATAGCTTCTTTATAGTGAGTTAAATTATTTAATGCCGCGGCTTAATAAAAGTATTTTAAAGATCATTACCCTTGTTGCACCATGCAATATCATTATTAGGGTTTATAGAAATGGATTTATCGCAACAATCAAGAGCTTCTTAATAGTGATTTTACTTATTTAGTGCGACACCTATTTTAAAATATTTGTGCACTCATTACCGCATTTACTCAATGCATCATCATTCTTTTCCGAATCTCTCTTTCTTAGAATGAGAAGTTCTTCACTGCATGTATTTAATTCTTTTCCAAAATCTCTATCTTTACCATTCATATAAATCAAGCATTCATAACAATATTATGGTGTTTCCTGACAAATTTAATTTAAACAACATCCCTTTATTGCTTCGTTTTTAAGAATGGGACATTTGATCATTATCATTGAAATTAATAATTAATTAGTATAATCCTATTCATTTTATATATTTTTATCTCATAATATTCATACTAAACACAACTTTTGATTTTATTATATATCCCTTTTACTTATAAGAAAGTTTATTAATATTTAATCAGTTAATATTAAAGAATTCTTGCCTCTGTTTTTAACATTTTGCATCATCCTTTATCCTCAAAATTGATGACTTTTTTCAAAATTTGCATAATTTTTAAATTTAATCAATATAATTTGTTTGTAGAAAAGTTTGTTCTTTTAGAAATATTACTATTTTAGTTTAATGAAGAAGTTTAAATGTATAATCCAAAATAGGAATAGTTTAAACTAAATAAACTTTGTACTCACTATGGTTTTATCTATTTTTATTAAGTATTTAGTGATGCCCTTGAATGAATTGGATTATGTTTATTTCAGCCATCTGTAAATTTTTAATATGAGAAATTGAAGCAATAGCGATTTTCAAAATGGAATTTTTGAATTAATAGAATTAGGATGCTACTGATAAAGTGAGTAAAGTCAAATATCATGAGCATAATAGAATAATATGTGAAATAATCAAATTTTATCAATTTTCTTCTCCCTATCATACGTATTGGTATAATAAATTAAAATCAATACTGAAAATCAGATTTTACTATTTTGATTTAATGAAAATGGATGTGTAAATTTCCTTAATACTATTCAAAAATTCTCCAAAAAAATTAGAAAATATCATGTAATATGAATTATACATAATTATCATAACAATACTAAATTTATAAGATCCTTAGTTAAGATTCTCTTTTATTAAAAGTTTGGAACTACTTTAAAAAAGTAATGTCAAATCTTCTTTCTTTCTGATCTTTGGAAATTATATTCCATAAAAATTAATCTATAAGAAAATATTTAAGTGTCATCCTTCTCATTCATAATTGAATTAAACGAATAATCGTATTACAAAAACAAATTCATTAAGTAATCAAACCCATACCTAAATTCAGAAGGATCAATTGATAATATGGATTTATAGCTTTTGAATAATTATAATAATAATTGATAAATTAAAAACAACAATTAAATCAGTTTTCGTCAAGGATTTCAATTCTTAAATGAGTAATCATAAATAATGGCAGCATAAGTTTCGATTATTGACTTTATCATTCTGAAGACAAAGTAGTCAAAAGAATTTTCCCTTATAAATATTAATTCTAAAATAAAACATTAAGAAATATATTTTTCAGACCTAAAATAAAATTTTAGGACTTTAGATAAATTGTAGGATTAAATTAAAAAAAAATATATATAATTTAGATTCAAAGAAAAATAAATGTTACTTTAAATTTCTAAAGACATGCTGAGGCAATTCTTTTCTAACGATATGCTTAAATTTAGGGTGACAGAACAGTTTTAAATTTTTTTATTAATATTATTAGATTGCATTATAATTGAAAAATTATGAGCTATTTTAATTTTAATATTGTATTCAAAACACCGAATTCTTTTAATTAAAATACATCACATCAAATATTAATTAATTTAATAAATAGACTATTTATTTCAAATTTAATTAATTCTTAATGTAATAGAATGTTAACTAGATCCTAGAAAAATAAACAAATAAATAATGGCTTTAGAAATTTTGCTTTTGAATTAGGTGTATTCATATTTACTGGCTCTTATAAAAGCTTATTTAGCTTCGTATAATAACTCTTAATGAATATTTTAGACACACAAGTATAGCAAGACTCTGGTTTTATTTTGATACTCAGCTTCAATTATGACAAATAGGAATAAATATGATTTAGGACTAAAAAATGTTTTCTGCTATTGGGGATTTATTGGTGTAGTTTGAATATTAGTTATCTTAATTAACCATTCAACTTGAGAATGTCTGAAAGCGATGCCAATAAACCTGCAATCAAGTTTCTAAGGCTTGAATAGTTAAGAATGAACTTACGGAAGGAAAAATTAACCAGTTATTCCTGACGAAATTTACCAAATTATAGCCTCTGGATTTAAAAATAGCAAAAACAAAAGCTTCAGGATCGGAACAAGGTAACACGTATTTTATTAGGACAATTCCACCAAAGTTCAGCTATTTACTTGATTTAGGATGCGAGGACTTTCAAAAGAAAGAATTAAGCTCAGAAATCAGTCATACATCAATCCAAATTAGTTCTACTGATTAAAATATGACTTAAGAAAAGTCAATAATTCTGGTCTATTGGAGTATAAAGTCCACCCTTCAAATGCTTAGAATCTTGATTCATTGACAAACTGATTAATTATACCTAAAACAAAACTTGTATTAATTGAATTTTAAATACTGAAAAAATAGATGAAACTTTGGATAGTGGATAAGATAGCCAATTCATTAGTGTGAATATCATATTTGAATTCATTTCTCCTAATCTAGGTTTATTAATTTAAAATTAAAAATAATTGGAAATTATAAAAGAATGTAATAAAAGAACTATTTTGATATTCATGATATATTTAGAAAACAATAATCATGATTAGCAAGTAATGGTTTTTGCATTTATATTGTGGTTTTAAATTGATAGAATTTGTAGAGCTCAATTACAATTTTTTTTTTTTTCTGTTGCTAAAAAAAAAAGAATTAATCTTATACAAAAATTTTCTAATATAGAGGTAGAGATTTT